CATTATTTTTGAAAAAATTCTCAACTGAAAAGAAGCAAAATCTATGGTACTATTAGTTAAATACACTTCGCCAAAAATCTTACGAAAAAGTAGATTTTTATGCAGAAAAATTTAAAAGATTGTTAAAGAAAGTCGACTCTTCCAAGGCCTTACTAGATAAATATATTGTGAGATTTTTTCTTAATGGATTAAGGAAGAATATCATTCCTTTTGTAGCATTTAGTCATTCCAAAAATATAGATGAAGCTATTGACGCAGCTAAATAAGTTAAAAGTGGTCAATATTATGAATAGCAATCTTCTGTATTAACTTAACCAAGTGAAAGTAATAATGCTATTTATAATCTTACCAAACAAATGAAATAATTATCCTTAAACTATGCAATCCTTTCCAATGCGTTATCCGTACAACTTGAAGGAAAATCTGAAAGAAAAAAGCCAAAAGATGATAGAAATCTTACAAAAGTTTGGGATACTAAGGCATAGGATATAAAAGCTTGGGACAAAAAGGATATTATTTGTTATTGTTATCAAGAAAAAAGACATTATTCAAAAGAATATATGTCTGAAAAACCAGTATATCGAAGGAAATCTGATAAAAGAGAAGCTAGTTATGTTGGAGTTTTTACCAATAGTGAAGAAGAAGAAATTGAAGAAGTAGAAGAGGAAGAAGTTTATATTCTCCCACGAAATAAACCTTATACTACTAATAGAAAAACTGCTTGACAATTAGAAGCAGATAGAAAGAAACAATCTGAATCCAGAAGGGAATTAAACTTAAGAAGTAGAAAACCTATTGATGAATTTATGAAAATAGAAACCCCATAAATTGTTACTCCTATCTAAAAAAAGAAAGTCAAACGAGGACCATCTCAAATTGATCAAATGCCTCCCTATAATGTCATGCAAGATTTATTGCAAATGCCTTCTTCTGCAAAAATTGGTTAGCTTTTGCAATATCCAAATCAAAAATGTAACCTTGTTCAAGGGTTGAGAAGACCAAAAATTCAAGAAACAAATTACGTTAATCAGGAAAGTGAAGAAGAAAAGGAAGACAAATCTATAGCTATTCATTGTTATGTCAGAATTAAAGGAAATCCTGTTGTTGCTATCTTAGATTCTGGAGCTACTGTTAGCATTATCACCAGAATAATTAATGAAGAAAGTAGGATTATCTATTGATGAACAGTCTAATACTGTCATAGTCACTGCTAATGGAGAAAGGACTAGAGCATTAGGACAAGTTAAAAGAGCTCAAATTGCTATCCAAAACCTATTAATTCCTATTTCTTTACAAGTTATCAACTCTCAAGATAAAACTCTACTTTTAGGAATGGATTAGTTTAGAAAAACTCATGCTAGCCTTGATTTTGAAACTAATCAAATTAGGTTGAGATATTTAGCAAAAACAATCACAGTTCCTGTAACTTCTAGTGCAAATGAAGCCCCTGTTAGTTATCCTACTAACCAAGATTAATAGGATGACGAATTAGAACAAGTTTTAGATAACTATGAGGAAGAAGAACTTAGCGAAATTGAGGCCTATATAGCAGATAGTCAAGAAGAATATGAGGAGGAAACTGACCTTCTACCTCTTGACTACAATCCTTGGAATGAAGAAAACCCTATCTATTTAACTCTTACATTTAAGAAAGAATTTAAGGTTAACCCAGCAGTATTTCTTGCCGAAACTTTTAAAGAAAATATTTGAAAAATTAAAGATGATCTTCAGATTAGACTTCTTGATGACAAGCAGCAGACATCCTTTCAAAAACTAATTGATAACTATAAAGATATATGTATTCTAAGCCAAATAAAAATTGGATGAACTAGTTTGGTAAAACATAATATTTTGATTAATAATTATGATTCAGTTACCACTGGAACTTATAAGTGTAAAGACCCAGTAAAACTTAATTTTCTCAAGAATAAAATCAAGTATATGGAAGAAAATGGAATTATCAGAAAATTGTTAAGCTCCTAGGCTTCTCCTGTAGTTATAGTAACAAAGAAAACTGGAGATAAATTAATCTGCATTGATTATAGAAAGTTAAATTCTATTTTTAAAAGTGATACATATCCTCTACTGAGAATTGACGATTTATTAGAGAAATTTAGAGAAGCAAATTAGTTTTCTATACTTGACCTTGTTAGTGGTTATTGGCAGGTAAAAATGAGTAAAAAAGATAAGAAAAAACTGCTTTTATTCCTCAGTTCAGTCTATATGAATTCAATGTTATGCCCTTTGAACTAAAGAATGCATTAGCAACCTTTCAAAGGTTAATGAATCATATTCTCTAAGAATTCTTGTAAGAATTCGTTGCTGTCTATTTGAATGATATCATTATTTATTCAATAATTTATGAGAATCATATTCAACATTTGAGAAAAATATTCCAAGCGATCAAGTAAGTGAATTTAATGATTAAGCTTAAAAAGTGTCATTTTTGCTTACCTAATATAATGAATGTACTTAGGACATATAGTTGGAAGGAATGGATTACAACCTGACCCTGCAAAAATTGATAAAGTTAAAAGCTTTCCTATTCCAGTTGATCTAACAAGTTTAAGGTCTGCATTAGAATTATTCTCATATTATCGATAATTTGTTTCAGGATTTTCAAAAATTGCTAAACCTATAACTCAATTGTTGAAAAAGGAAGAACCATTCTCATAGACAGATACTTAATAAAAGACCTTTGATATTTTAAAGGAGAAATTAATTACTGCATCCATTTTGCAGTATCCAAATTTTAATAAACCATTTATCTTATATACCGATGCATCTGGAAATGGCTTAGGAGCTGTTCTTTCCTAAAAGTTAGAAAATGGGCTTGATTGTGTGGTAGCATATGTTAGCAAAAGTATGAACAAAGCTGAGCAAAATTATGGAATAACTGATCAGGAATGCTTTGCAGTTGTATGGGCTGTGAGATACTTTTACTATTATTTAAGCTCGCAATCTTTTACTATTATTACTGATCATTCAGCTCTTAAATGGTTACAAACCTCAAAAATTTCTAAAGAAAGGAGAGCACAATGAATCATGGAACTTCAACAATATGATTTTGAAATTAAACATAGACCTGGGAAGCTAAATACTAATGCTGATGCCTCTCACGAATTAATAATAATCAAAGTATGAATATAATACACGTGAAGTCTTCATGATAACTACTGATGAAGTAGAAGAATTAGAGGATGAATGGCATATTTCTTCTAAACATAACTCTATTAAAGATAATGAAGAAACATGGTTTGAAGAATAATTATTTCAACAATTTTCCAACGTACCCTTAATTATTGCAGTTAGATGAAAGCCTAAAGGATGAAATGAAAGATATATATCGTGAAAATATTAAGATTAAATCAGTTATAGCCAACTAACCTATTACCAAAGAAGGATCTCAATGTACAGTGAGGTATCAAAAGTCACCGGACACTTAAAAATTAGAAAATCGACGAAAATTAAACTTTTTTTTATTAATTTAATCGACTTTGGTTAAATAAGCAAAGTTGTTCATTTTAATGTTTTACATATATTTTATAATATTTAATTAGAAATAAAAATATTTATTGTATATTTAATACAGAATTTTTGAATTTTAATACAAGATTT